GCACATCTGCAAGCTGTAGCTATAGCCCAGGTGAGACAGCCTGTAGCAACTCCTTTCATGCCACAAAATGTATATTTAGATTTCTAGAACCTTTACTGTTCTTATATCCCTGCTTCTAAAGATACACGACTATATTTATTCATGGTTTTAAATAAATATTTCCATTTATTCCTGGCAAAAATAAATACTGCTACTGTTGGTTAGTTGTGGCAACAGTCTGATGAACATTATAAATTGGCACGTGTATTGCTAAGAAAAATGATGCCCCATCTCCTACCGCCTCAGCATCCCTCCTCTGTGCTAGCACAGCAGCTGCATATCTGCAAAACAAGCTTCCATGGGGAAGAAAACCATCTGGAGACTATTCTTTTTTTTTTTTTTCTGGGTAAATTTAAGCTTACGTCATCAACTCACTCCAGTTCAGTGCACAGATACGAGTGATGAGGCAATGCTGAAGTGGGCAAGGCAATACTGGGGATAGGTGGGACTATGTCTTCCAGCACCCATGCCATTTTATACAAACTTTTACTTTCTATTGAAATGCAGGCTCAATTAACTTGTCTGAAATTGCCCCTAAGGAAAGGCGAATTGTATTTCAAGGTCCTAGAAAATAAATAAATAAAATATTAATGAAGTTATTGTATGGTGACAGCTCTTCCAAGAACAAAACTGCCATTTCAGGTAATTAATTATATTTTCTTCAGTTCTTATCAGATATCCCCCTTCCCCCCTCCAGATTTTACATGAGGTTCTTAGTGGTCTCAGAAATAAAATGAAATAGTCAGAACACAGCATACTAGCTTAAAAATGTATACACAGCACTCCAAAGAGTTAATGCAGAATGATAAAGCTGTATTTCATTCATCCAGGAAAAATACCAGCCCTTCCTCTACTCCAACATCAACATGTTTACCACTGGGATGGAGGGAAGACAACACCCTAGGTATACTCTTAAGAATAAAGTTATTTTGACCTGCAGGAATTTTCACTTCTTTTACTCTCATAAACACACTACAGATGTGGAGATTAGGAGAAACCATTTGAAAAAGGATAACATTGTGACTCATTTTATCATCATACTTACAGTCTCTATATGATTACCCCGTCTTTAGCTACAGCAGCACATTAGTCAGCTGTGCTCAGCACTGACACATCACAGTTGAACCACTCTCTGTGCTGCTCCTGCGGTGCTCTAAAGCTGATAAAACTCAGCAGCTGTTATTTTCACTGGCTTATACAGTGCGTGGTGGGTGTTCTGGTCACTTTATAAATATCACCTTTACACTTCCAAATGCTTATAAGCACATTTATTTCTAACGAAGTATCTCCACTTAGATGAAAATGTGTATTTAGTTGGTGCTACATAAAAAGGTTGGTTATGAGGGCAAAATTTCTCCCCTGAATGACACGTAGGAGAGTGAAAATATTTTTCTGTTTGTATCCTAGGAACATACACTGAAGTCCAGTCAAATGTTGGCCACAGGAGGAGCCACACCGGTGGCAGTGCTGCAGTGCCCAGCTGGTTTATAGGCTCAGCTGCTGAACTCAGCCTTTGGCTGCAGAACCCCAACCCAGCAGAATGGGCCACGTGGGTCATCTCTGCCACATCACTGCTAAGCTGCTCATGCTAAGTCAGGTATTTAGCATTTTGTAAGTAGTCTGCGTGGACTCTACGCTTTCAGGAAGAGGGATGGTGCTCTGTGAACGCAGTATCCTGCAGTAGGAGTAGGGGAAGAGGCTAGAAAGGATCAGTGACACCTTAAGGGCTCTTTTTACAGTGAATGTCTTTAAGTCCAGGGTTCACCTTCTCCTTGAATCCTGTCCAATCTTCTAGTCTCCTCAGGATGTCAAAGCTCAAAGAAGAGCCGCAGGGATGATTAATAGTCTTCCATGACTATGTTGGCCTGGGTTCTCCAGCCCGGAACAGGAGTAATATGGTAGAGATCTGCAAAGTCCTAGCTTCATGGAGAAGCAACTCACTGCTGCTTCCAGTAGAAGAATGATGGGCCACAAAGAAGCCAGGCTGAAAACAAAGGAGAAGTGATTCTTCAAGCAATAAATATGCAAAGATTTTGTTGCCAGTGGCATTGTGGCTCCAAAAATTTTAGGTGGATTAAAAGGGAGAGTGGATAAGCACTTGAAGAGTAACTGTGGTTACTAAACAAAGTAAACAAACAGACAAAACATAACAAAACACATCAGAGGCACAGAAAATACCCCTTGCTGAGAATGGCCAGAGGCTCTGTTGACTTACTTGCCTTTTCTCATTCACCAACAGGCATATCCTTGTGGCCACTGTTTCCCTTTTCTCTGGAGGATGCCAGGAATGTGGTTTCCCCTTGTCACAATTCAGGCAGACCAGTGGCCTGGCTGGAGGTTGCTGCAGTATGAGCACACCCAAAATGCTGGGGATAAGCCTGGAAGAAAGCACTGGGGGTATCACCTGCTGTTTTGAGAGACAGAATATAAGATTAGGGTGCAGTGATGCAAACCAGCACAGCTGTTCTTAGGTTCAAGATGCAGCCACAGCATTTGACACTTAAATAGCAGAATTCATTCATATGCATTCAAAACTGCACCTCAGAAAGTCTCTGCTTGTTATCCACAATGCATCTGATAGTTTACTGTGCATCTGCAATTGCTCAGGAACTTTTTCAATTACATTTCTTACTATCCAACAATTTTCAGTGTCCATGTATTTCTCTTCCTAAACACTCATGGTGCTTGTGCCCATGGCCAGTATGCAGCAGCAGAACAGCCCACAGAATTTTCATGCTGGGGCAGCAATAATAGATTTCTTGAAGAAAGGAGAGGAGAGAAGAGGAGAGGAGAGGAGATTAGGATATATTAATAAAGTCTAAATTAGATCAACATCTAGGAACATATGTAGATATTTGCTGGACACATGCTTTCTTCTGAAAGAGCCCATGTGTTCTGCAGTGCCAGGGCCATCCCACTAGTGAACAGCAACAGCAATAACCATCAGTAATGCAAGATCCAACCATTCTCCTGATAAATCCCACTAAAATGAGCCAAGCACAAAGGCTTACGAACTCACTGCCACTCAAGCTGTTAAAAATGATAATAGGTTTGATTTTTTTGTTTGGAACTATAACGTCTCAGCCTTCTGTTCCCCTCTTGCAGCCCTGATGCTCAACACAAGTGCTGGCTGCATCCACCGCACAGCGTCCCAGAGCTGTGCGACCAAATGCTCCAGTGCTGTGCCTGGAAGGCTTCATCATCCAGATACGGTCAGCAGGTGCCAACTCAAACAAGAGAGAGCAAGCAAGGCGCAGCTCAGGGAAATGGGCTTCTCCCCCTGCAGTGATGGAAATGGAGCAGTGCGTGGCACTGGCCCGACAGCCCCCCTTACTGAGAGAGGCACCGAGGCGGGACAGCTGCAGGTGCAGAAAATCCATGGAGTTTGAGTCTCCCCATAGATTTCCTATGCTCCTTCCAAAGTCACAATGTTTTAATTGATATTTCTTGTGAGAATTCAACAGGTGCAACATAAATCCCATGGATTGTGCTGAATCCCGCAAAACCTTGACTTTCATTTTGAAAGGGGTTGGGAAGGGGAAGAGTTTTCTTGCTCTTTTGGTTTTAGCCTTGAGCTATATGAGACAGAAAAAATGCTGTATTTGCTCAAAGTGCTGCCAGATTAAAATAAGCAGCTATTCATCTTATTTTTCTGAAAGGATGGTTAACTCATTGAGAAAAGCTCATTGACTGTAAAAATACATTCAATTATAGCAGAAGTACAGTAGGAACAAACTTGGCTTTCCCTTATATGTATTGGAATGGGGGGGAAGATTCTACATCCATTTCTGCCCTTTCAGATATACTCTGCAAAGCAAATGGGCCAGCATTAGTGGCAAGAAGAGAACCTTTGGATTTATGGATACACACCCAAACCCTTTTAAAGGCAGATAACAGACCCATTCTGCCATGGTATTACTTATGAGGTGAGAGGTACTAGCAGTAATGAAGGTAGATGTCACAGCATATGATTTCTTTAACATTAAGTTATGATATATCTCCTCTTGGTTTACTCTCTATTTGATGGATGGCTCAATATCTTCAGGGCTCCACATGGTAGATAGATAAACAATGAGCAGACAGGGAAGCAGATGTTGGAAATAAAGACAGACTTCCACTTTTCATTTTTGCAATTGTGTCTGTATAATGGTTCTCTTTACAAAATTCCTGATTAGGTCTTGTTAAAAAATTTAAAGTTTCTGTATATTTTAGTACCAAAAAAGGGGGGTTATAACATGTTAATCCACCCCAAAAGTTTGGACCACTAAGATGATCATATTTCTAGAATTTAGAAAGTGAGCAAGATGATAAACAGCACATTAGCCAGTTCTTCTCCACTCTTTTTCACAGGTACTTTTAATCACTTCTAACAGCAATCACAGCTGTTCAGCTTTGATGGCCAGCTGTGGGTCCTGCAATGTTGTGAATCACTAATAGGTGAGGTGTAACCTTTAGGAAAGAAGCAAAATATCTTTTGAAATCAATACTAATACTAACATAAAACTGTTGTTAGTAGTAATATAATACACGAGCATTAATAATACTAACAAAGAACTTCACTAAAATTATACTGTAGTGTCTTTAAGCCCTATGATACTGATTTCACTTAACGCAGTGACACTAGCAAAACACTTAACATCTTGTTGGTGATTTTTTTTTTTATCTACCTTGCCTTAAATGCAGATTGAAAAAAAAAAAAATTGCTTTGACTTTCTAGAAGCTTTTCCCTGAATTTTTAAACAGGAAATTGTTGAAAATTGATGTTTTCCAACAGACAGTACATATTGATGAGTTTTTTTGTTGTTGTTGCTGGTTTTTTCACAGAAGAAATTATTTTGGTGGAAATCCTGCCTAATTCTAAATTGTGTTATCTCTTCTTTAAAAGCTTGAACTTGAAGGAACTTGAAAACCTGGCTCTTTTTCTATATCAGTCCCAAAGCATGTTACTGCTGGAGTCGGCACCATGATCCTTGTTTCCCATAGCAGAAGAGTGGGTGACAGGAGGGTCTCAGGACAAGCAGTAAACCAGCCATGCTGCTGAAAGGAGAATTTTTCACCTGCTCTTCCCAAGCTGGTGCTCTGATGAGCTACAAATAGACCCCCAAACTGATTTAGTTTATCGTTAGCCTTGAGATGGGATTGATCTACTTGATTTTGGAAGAGACAGGAACAGTAAAACCTGGCTTTGAGGAGCAGAAGTGGAGGTGGGAGATTCTCCACAGGGAATTGCTGTCAGATACTTTGCTGAGGGATTTATACAATGTATAGAAGTCCAAAGAGAGTGTGGTCAGATACATCCTTCCTCATCTCCCCCCAGCAAAGCAAATTAATTTAAATCTATAAAGAATACAAAGCTGTGAGAACGCTATCTAAAATATAACTTGAGAGCAATTGGAAAGTTTAGAAAAAAGTCTTTCAAGGAAAAATAATGAGCAGAATTACAGTAGAAACAGTTGCTATATGGATAAGGCAAAATATTTGACAAGGAAAACATCTCTGAGAAGAAAGCACAAGGGCAGAGCTATTATAGCCTCTGCGGCCTTTTCCCTCAGACTTCTTATTTTATAACATATTTCTAAAACGCAACACCCACAACTGTTTTTCTTCATCTATCAAAGCATAAAATTGCCAGTCCTTTGACCTAACTTAAATCAAGGAAGTAGCAATGTTAGGTTTAATTAAAAACAGCAAATATTTGTACAGCTGTCCCTGGTTTCACAGCACAGAAATAGGTTTAGCATCAAATCTTACAGTTTTAAATCCTCTGGGAACCATATACAAAAACATATAGGATCCTTCTGGCCGACTTGCCAAAGCCAGTAATGCCTTTTTTTGGAGTTATTTCAGGTGGGGCTCATTCAGCCTTACCATTTCCAACCCACTGTTTTCCTACTTGAGTTTTTTTTTTTCCCCCCGTGTGCCAAATGCAGCACTGTCAGGCTGACAAGTTTGGATGCATTTGATGCATTTCAGGGTTGTGAGTAATAATAGCAATAAAACCAAGGTAGGCTGAGAAGTTCTGATGGAAATGCTGGCTGGGCATTTCCAGCAGCTGGTGTCACTTGGAGATGCAGGAGCCTCCATCAGCTCCACACTGATGATCCCTAAAGCTGGGAGGGGTTTGGAAGGAAATTATTCCTTGTTCCCCTTTTAAATTACTCATGGAAGCACGTTGTAAAATCCTTCAGCACCCAGCTTTATAAAGCTGCCCTCACAGGGCTGAGGCTGCACCTTGCACGGGTCAGGCCTGGCAAGGCAGGTCCCAGTGAGAACGATGGAGAGATTTGCACCGCGCCCTGCTCTGCACCCAGATGGGGATGTGCAAACCTCCCCCAAATCTGCCAAAATAAGCCTGGGGCGGGGCAGGGTGAGCGGCCACCCACCACGGGGTGAGAGATACGGAGGAGGGAAGGGGCACAACAGGGCTTAAGAGGCTGCAGTCAGGCCTGTGGTGAGAGGGGAGGCTGATGGCCGGCCCGGCTGCTCTGCTCGAGTCCCTCGGGCACCAGGCAGAGGCTCTCCGCACACTCCGGGCAGTGTGGGGAGGCAAGGAAGATGGTGCAGCCACCCACCCTCCCTGCATCCCCCCACAGCTTTCCCAGGCCCAAAGTGACGGCGCCGGCCAGCATGGCCCAGCCTGGCCCAGCCCAGGAGGGAGAACAGAGGTGGCTGGGCTTGGCTGGGTCTTGGAGCTGGAGAAAGAGAGAAAAGGTCCGGGGAAAAGTCCTGAGGAAGAGGAGGGTGGAAGCCCAACTGCCGTCAGCCTAGGGGAGCCCAGGCCACAGCAGCAGTTGCAGCTCAGGTTGAAGAGGCCTGAGACACTGCGAGAGAAGGCTCTGTGCAGCAAGCTGTCCCGAGTAGTGGATGCAACCATCCGGCTTGTAACAGCAGAGCAGACCTTCCTGCTCCCCCTTGTACAGCAGCATCCCTTTCCTCTCCACCCAAAAGTAAGTAAGGGACGAAAACAATAACTCCTTTTTTGGGATTTTGCAGAGGAGCTGCTGACTGCGCTGATAACTACATGTGCTGGGTTTTGCCCTTTGGACTGAAAGTGTTTCACGTCCACTAATTTTCATTTAAACCTATAGCCTGCAGTACGGTTAATAAGCTACTGATGGTTCAGTGTAGTTGCATCACAAGGATTTGGGGGATAAAAACACTTTTGGTAGAACATAGGTTTGCTTTTGCCTGGAAAGATTACTTAGAAATCTTCCAAAAGGTAGTTTTGTATGCATAAATTTCCCTAAATGAGACAAAGAACAACACAAGATGCAGAGATGACCAGTAACCTACAAATGAAATGTGACTGCCCAGCAGAGCCCATGGCATAACAGTATACCATACATCCAGAATATGAGACCCAACAAACATTTTCCTGAAAAAATCTTCAATTTTCCAATAAATGCAGTGATTATGCATTTTATGCATGATTATTAATTTATAAAGAAAATTAAGAAAAAGTTTAGACACAAGCTTGCAAGTCGTGGTTTTAGGGGTTGGTTAAGCAGTCCAATATGTCTAACTCTAAGTCAGATGATACTGGCATTTCCTCAAAACTTACCTTAGGATGAGTTTTAGGTGTACCATGTAAAACATGTAAAACAAGACTGCAGTTCTTAATCAGCCTTTCGTAGTGAAGAAGCATACCACAGAAACTCCATTAGTAGTTGTCTGGCAAGTTGAGACACAATTAAAATCTGCTCTTTTTCCTTTATACTAATCTTCCCAGAGTGGACCAGCACAGTATGGGAAGATGAAGGATAGGGAAGCAGCAAAGGTTTAGCCACAAATTCTGATATGATGGTTAATTTTTTGTGGGGAAAAAGCAACAACTATGACTTTGGGTTTCTCAGTATTTTGCTAATGAATTTCAGATATTGCAAGATGCTATTTTCACAGGTGCTAGACCAGTGCAGTGGGTCTGACTAGCTTTGTGATTGTTCACAGTCTGTGAAAAATCACATCCAAGTTATCTCAAGTCAAGATATAACTTGCTCATAAATGCAATCACCAAGATTCAGAAGCAAATTTTGAAGATTTGGATCCAAATTGCCTACAGGTGGTAGGGGTGATAATGGAAGCTATCCATAAGTGTGGTAAAAATCAGCCAAAATTGTTAGATAACACATTTCAAAAATGAGAGTGCAGGGATAATTTGGACTTCTGTAATACTAATTCTACAGCAAGACTGCTTCATTGCTTGTAATTTAAAACAAAACAAAACAAAATTAATGCAATCTATTTTTGTACAAACAAATGTTGGTTTGATGAAATACAGCCATCTCAAGGAAGGTTTTATTTTCTTCCTTTTCTTTCCCAGAACTACCTTAATATTACTTGTGTGAAAGTATGTGTTTAGATACCACTGGGAATATAGTTTACTTTGGATTCTGATTTTCCTATTGCACTTGAAGCTAAGTTAGGTTTTTTCTTCACTGAAAACCCATTATCATGACCCATTGAGCTCTGGGACATTTTCCCCCTTCCCTTTTACAGGAAGGTTACATAAATTCTGTGTTAGGTTTCTATAGACTCTGTGTCATGGATAACTGACCCCTTTAGCTGCAAGCAATTTCACTGTTGCAGATTTGATTTTGAAGCAAATTGGATTTCAAGGGATCCATTTATATTATAACCTCTGCATAAATTCACATGAACAAACCCTTATAAATAAGCTCTTGGCCAATGAGTTGGCCAAAATTCCTTCAACATGCCAGCCCTTGGTAACATGTCCTTCCACTCACTGTTTTTGAAGGAAGATTCTGGTTTTATGGCCCAGAGACAATCACACATAGTCAGCATTTGGTACTTCTCATTTCTTGGTACAGTTAAGTGTTTTTGGTCTTTCTTGGCAATCCTGACTTTCTTGTTTTTCATTTATTCTGTGTCTGTTCCTTGGTTTCTTTTTAAAGTACTGGTACTGGTTTATCAGCTGAACTGATAAAAAGTTACTTTATACAATGGCACCAAAATAGATAGACAAAGGATTGAAGAAAATTTAGACTTGAGAAATGGAATGACAAAACTTACGCAGTTCATTGCCTGTGAGTACTGGAAATACGCTCTGCTGTGTTCCACTGTATGTTAGACAGTACAGTTCCTCAGCAATTAATACCATGTGTTAATTTCTGATGAAAAGTGACACATTTGCAGGAATTTGGAGCAAGTCTTTTGCTAGTGACTGTGAGCACGTAATCACTGATTCTGTATGCAGTAACACCACAAAGTTTGTTTAGCCAAATGGTGTGTCTGAAGATGGGACGGGCAAAGGGCCCCTTTCCCCTCTCCTCAGGATCCAGTTGGCTGCATCATCCCATTGCCCACCTGGCTGTTTGTTGGCATCAGCACCCACAGGCAAACTCCTAGCGCCTAATGCCTTCACAAAGACGCCCTGTAATAACCACCACATTTTCTCTCTCCCGTAATTACACACTGCCAAGGTGAACAGAACGGCCTTTTTTTAACAGAGTGAGAGATTCTGTATTTTAAGCAGCAATTTGAGTGCATTTGAAAAGGAAAAATAAAAGGTAGAAAACCTTCCCAAAATAGCAGTGTGTGGCTTGCCCTGGCTGTGCTCAGGTGCAGCTATGCATTACTCCAGCTTTTTGATAACATCCTGTCTCCTTTGCTGGAGTTACCGAAGGGTCGTTCAAACGGTACTAAATCAGAAATGTGGAGCGGATTGGACTGGGCCAATCTCAATGGCAGCCAGCAGGGAGTGGAATATAAATCATACTAAGAAGTTAAAATAGCCGTCCCATTTGCAAAACAGTCATGGTATTTTCTTTAAAGGGGAAAAGAAAACACTGTCCCTAAAAGGTGCCAGATTGGCAGGGCAGGATAATAAAAAAAAAACTTCTGACTGTGCAAGCTTCTCCTGCCCATGTGCTGCTGTATTGCTGTTCTGCTGGCTGAGGAGGAAGAAGAAGGTGGGGATCTAAAGTAACATCAGCAGAGGTGCATGTTTACCATAGTTCCCTTGCCCTGTATCTCCCACTGAGGTGAAATAGTGCAGCTGCTGTGAGTCAGTCTAGTGGCACTCCATCTGTACAGGGAGTAAGTCACTTCACCAGGGCTTGAGCAGTAGCACAAAGACAAGCAGCAGCGCCAGTCATTTGTTCTGTTTTCCTACTGTATTTAGACCCATCTATTTAGACAAAAGAGAAACCACAAGTCCACTGCAGGCTAAACAATGGCACAAAATCAGGCATCGCTGACTTTGGCCATGTGAACTGGAGACCCAGAGATAGGCTGCTTCCCGTGGGACAGCCAGCAAAGGCACAGAGCAAGACAAGGCTCTTCACCCAGGGGATCTGCACGTTTTGTGGGAGGAATAGGGAAGGGATGGCTGTTGCTCAGTGACATTTCTATTGGTATTTAACAAGCTTGTTTTCTGGTTGCTGATTTCCTGAAACAAATTGGAGATGGGTTTCTCGGTTCCAAAGTGAGTAGGTCTTTCCTCTGTAAGAGATCTGAAGACTGATTCATAAATAATGGCTTAGGGGTGACGGAAACGAGATAAATTGCTTTCATTAGAATTCGCATAAAACAGCAGCAGACTTCTCGTTTGCCACCACGGATTGAACAAATGTGCCAGCATGCACGTTTCTCATTTTGCAGCCACTGATATTATGAAGTTGTTCCTGGACCTAATAGCTTTGAGCGCTCATTTTTTAAAGTAATTGATATGAAGGCTGATCGTGGAAAAGATTGTTTCACCCTCCATAAAGTTATTTGCAAGCTGTAGGCATTAATACTTGTTTCTGTGGATATTTTTTTTTAAATACTGACAAATGAGCGATCTGAAGTATTTCAAGTGAAGAATTGCCTCCAAGATCTTTCTGGAAGCTCTGAGGAAATATGCTTATGCAGTTCAATTTTATTAATACGATAGTGCTGCACGCCGCATGCATCTGCACCTGCTGTGTTAGAAAGAGTCTTTACAACAGCAAACCGCAGAATGAACTACACTAGGGGATTGTGGGATTATTTTTTCTTCAGAAATAGAAACTTTACGAGAAATTATTAACAACTCCAGCATTTTTCGATGGTACATGGCTTAGGAAAACTCTTCCAACTGCAATAGTTTTAGAAAATGAGAGATGGATAACAATAGGAGGAGATGGGGCTCACAGAACCATAGAATTGTTAAGGTTGGGAAAGACCTCTAAGATCATCTAGTCCAACCATCAGCCCATCCCCACCATGCCCACTGACCGTGTCCCTCAGTGCCACAGCTACACAGTTCTTAACACATCCAGGGATGGTGACTCCACCACCTCCCTGGGCAGCCTGTGCCACTGCCTCACTGCTCTTTCCGTGAAGAAATGTTTCCTAATATCCAACCTGAACCTTCCCTGGTGCAACTCAAGGCTATCAACTCTTGTCCTATCGCTGTTGACTGGGAGGCCAACTCCTACCTCGGCAGATCCTCCTTTCAGGGTTTTGTGGAAAGCAATAAGAGCTCACCTGAACCTCCTCTTCTCTGGACTAAACAATCCCTATTTCCTCAGCTGTTTCTCATAGAACTTATGCTACAGACCATTCACCCTTCATCTACCCATGAAGTCTTCATGGCATCTTAGCTCTGTATGAGCAGCTCAAGCCACTTTCTCTTTAGAGTCGTCAGAGAGAAGGAGGTAATTCCATTTTCAGTTCATCCTAAAATGGGCATCTAAGCTGGGTCTGGTAAACTGCTCCCATTCTCCCCACTGACCACATGAAGAACCTCCAGGAGGAAGCTGTCCCTGACTTTCACATCACTTTCAAAATGAGCATTTTATTCCTCCTGAGGTTGACCTATGCTGAGATATTATTCTAGAAAAATATAAAATAGGTCAGTGGGGGTGGAGGCGCTGAGTTACCAGGACTGGGCATCAGGAGCTCTGGCACTCCCACCCCAATTCCCAAATTTTGGTCTGCTGACCATGGAGAGCATCTAGCACCTGGACCAGGGCAGCACCACGCCACTCTGCCCTCAGTGGAAATTTTGTCTACAAGGGCACATGGAGATTAAAGAAAAAATGTTGAGGGTTGGCAGTGGGCCAGAGTCTAAAATTTGAGCGTGCAAAAGAAAAAGGCAGCTGTCTGTTAGAGCCAGCTGTAGGAATATGTTTGATGGGTCATGTCGGTGTTTCAGAGTAAAATAAAAGATGGAAGCAAGCAGTTTGTATCTTCTCTAAAGGAGCCTTTATAAAAGCGGCTCTTCATACACTTGAAGCAAGTTTGTGGATAGTATCAATTTTACATTAAGGTTCAAAAATAAAAGCTGGGCCATCAGAAACATCCTGAAACTTCAGCCTACCACTGAGTGACAACTGCATGAAACAGACTCAGAGCAGTGGAAAATTTTAAGCCATAAATTAGAGAGCCTTGAAACTAGTAGGCCATGGTGTTTTTATTCTGGGGGAGGTTCTTTATTAACTCATCTGTCTAAACATATGGATCTTGACAAATGAAAACTGCAGGGAGGATCTGCTCCTGTCCTGCAATTGAAAACACTTCAAATCACTGCAGATATTCTTGTTAGCATCTCTTAAATGGCAAAATACCACATGAACTGCTGCTCGCTATCAGTTCAGCTCACAAGGGCCCTGCTTCCTGAAGTTAAAACGGAAAGAATTTTTGGTCTGAAACTTTTGCTCCAGTTAGTTATGATCTACTTCTATTGAAAGGAGAGATAAGTCAAGTTTTTATTCCCTGTCATGTATCCTAAAGCTCCCATGTGCTGGACACCTGCAAAAGCGAGCAAAGCGAGCTTGTTTACTTAGCACAATTTATTTGACCTCTTAATATATTTGAGTAAGGATTTTATACCTAAGGCAACTTTACAGAACAGATTTGAAAGGTGACCTTCAAAGGCAACATCAAAATCTTTCTGAAAAAGGAAACTTTGGAAATATATGTGAAAAAGGCTGCTTTTCAGCTAACCTCCTGACTCAGGACTCCCTGGATTTCTGCACAGGGCGTGCCAGAGCGATGAGTTCACCTTGCTCACAGCAGACCCACAACTGCTATTGTACAATACCTAAGGGCCCAAGAATGGTATCGGATGGCTAGTTCAGAAATTTCCACACTGAATGCCTTCTGCTTGCTGGCTGGAGTAACCATGCAGCACTGTTTTCAATGTTAACCCACATTTCAATTCTTCAACTGCAAATCCTTTTTGCTGTTACCATTATGAAGCTGGGATTGTCTGGGTGACAGGGAGTTTTAAAAACTGGTTTCTTTGTTTCTTTTAATAACAAAGGCAAAATCCACAATAAGTCTAAACCTGCATGCTTTTAAGAATAACTCTAAAACTCAATTTCCTCTCAGCTAAAAGCACAGGCTGCCACTAACTAGAAGAGTAAATACATCAAGTGTAGGAGGTAAGAGGTGCCAAAATCTGGTGTGTGACATAAGCTATGGGAGAAGGCTCCTCTGTTCCTTGCAGTTTATCTAGATGAGTTCATTGTGTGGGGGACTTTGGGAAGGCAGAAGCTCTGACTGAGACCAGATGTGCACATCCATTTTAGGCTGGCAGAGGCTGATCCCATTGCCTGAAGATGTTTTGTCCTCTTCACATCCAAACATGCATTCCCACTGTTGAGGTACTCCTCTCTTCATGCTGACATAAGCAAATCAGGTTGGGAAACTATCATGAGTTAAAACTCTGCTTCTACCACCTGCTCCTTTCACCTTCTTAGGCAGGGGTAGGAGCAGATGGGGATGGAGAGGGATGTGCTTCTTTTAGTAGATGTGCTCACAAGCTACACTGGCCCAGCTCAGTGGCAGGCAAAAACTTTCTAACTATGCACATTCATCTCTGATTTAGAGTGAGATGGTCTAGCACTGATTGCCCCTGCAAGGTCCCACAGCCAGCAGCTCTACTGATCTTTCAGGGAAAACCAGCAGGCAGAACGTTCTACAAGCTGCAGTTTGTGAGGTTGCCTGGAATGGTTAAGAAATGCATTTGCCCCAGCAGTGCAGGGGCACTGCTGAGAAGTCCTTTGTTATCAAAGCACTTCTCAGCTCCAGATCTTGCTACATCAGAGGGACTGGGAAGTCTTCATGCTTCATCATGCTGCACAACCAGCAGAGCTGTCAGGGTATCCTGCCCCACTGGCAATCCCAGTCACCTCACAGAAGGACACCACAGAAGTGGTATTTCAGAGGACTGCTGTCACACTGTGCCCTTGGGAGCCATTGGGAGCTCTCAGGAGATGTCTGGATATAACATTTTCCTGAGGTCCTACCCTTGCCTGTCAGCGTAGGGGAAGTTGAATTGCTGAGAACAGCTACTAAAGCTCTGTCTGATAGAAACAGAACTAAAAAGCATAATCACTGATGCCTGGGGAAGGCAAATGACCCTTAGAAGTGAATAGGTGAAACAGCTACCCAAGGATTTCTGCCAAGTGAGTTTGCAGCAGTATTTAGTGGTTACACTACATGTGTTTCAAAACTAAAGATGTTTCACACTAAATCAGAGATGAACGTGCATAGTTAGGAAGTTTCTGTTGAGAAAATCTGTCTGGAAAACTCAGGGGAGCATTATTTTTCACCTACTTCTTTTTGCTTTTATTTTTAGGATAGCATTGAGTTTAGAAACATCTGTAGTCACATGGCTTTACAAAGAGAGGGACAGCAATTTGAGAAAGACTTGCATGAAGCACACCAGTGTCTGAAGATGATCATCGAGAAGCATATTTATTCACTGGCAGCTTTCCCCTCAGAATCCTATATCCCAGTCCGATCTGCTCTGAGACAAATCCTGCAAAATCTCCTGGCAATGTGAAACAGCAGACTGGCCAAGGAACGAGTATTGCACATGAGCTGTAATAGTTCCGTAAAAATCACAGATAACTTGAAAGATGAATCCTGGAGATGTTACTGTAGCAAGAGTTCCCGCTGACTTTACATTAGTGGAGACTTCCCAATGGAGATGGTATTTCTGTAAAGTATTGAACAACCTTCTCATATCAAACTCATACCAAAGTCATATAAATGGGAGCTGGGAACATCTCCAGAAGTTTCTCTGGAGGAACAGGAACAGATTCTTAAATAATAAAGTTTCAAAATGAAGACAGAATGATAGAGGCTGATACGACAACCATCAGAAATCTTTATATTTTCATCGCATCTCAGGAAAATAAGGTTGCAAGTAATTCTTTACGGAGTGGACGCTTGATAGAGACAGAGAAAATACAGCGTATAAGCATAGACCACTTCAAGAGGAGGTATACAGCCTGATTACACTGCAAATAAAGACAGCCTGCTAAATCTTTATTACATTTTACCATAGTCAGCCAACAAATCAATGGAAAGGTGAAGGTGTGATATCTTCCATTGAGTAAAGAAAAAGAGAAGAAAAAATATGTGAGACCTGTGGGATCAATTGCTTTAAAGCAATAAAAGGCCTTGGTAGATGATCCAGTGGAGGTGAATGGAAAGCAAAGCAAAAGAGGCATTAACACAGTGAAGCAAAGGTATTTATAAACTGAGGTGAAACATTTGTGAAGATTGCTTTGCAGAGCTTTCTCAGCCCCTATGACTGCGTAGCAGACAGCATAAAATTCTGCTCTCCTACTGCCAAATCAGGAGGGTTTATGAAGTCACTTACTTCTGTCAAACAGCTGCAGCTGTAATGCTGAAAAGAGGCATTCCCCCCCTCTTTTTTGCAATAAGATTTAATGTCTGTGTGATTGCTGAGTAGGAATAACGGCTTGTAAAACTTTTTTTTTCTTTTTTTTTTTTTTAAGGGATAAATTAAGCTCCTTTTAACTGTGATTTGGGTAGTAGGTGAGGGAATTATGTAGACCATGAGATAGAAAAGTATCTCTTTCCATTGGCCGGAGGAGTGAATTTCCACATGTGATTTTTTTTTTCTTTCTCTTTTTTATTTTATTTTATTTTATGTGTGATCATGAACATCATCAGCTGAATACTTTCCGAGTGTGCTTCCATACTCTGATTGATTTGCCATATTTTATGTTCACACTTTAAATGTTACAGGTATCATTCTCACAGCTATAATTGAGGCTACTTCGAAACACTTATTCACTGGTTCTTAGTGTGAGTGCAGAAAACTGCCCTAAGTTGAAACTCTGGGGTATGTCACAGCTTGGAATTCATTTAGAAATGGGAAGAAAAACCATGAAGATTGGGTGAGAACAAGATATCTCTTTTTTTTTTTTTTTCTCTTTTAAATGTGACTCCATCCCCCAAAGGAAATGGGAAAGAGGGCTTTTTCGGTAGAAGAATACAGCAGTGTTTGCTGAAATGTGATTTCCAGGGCAACTCTGAGCCCAAAAGCAAGAAGCAAACAAACCAAGGATCTCAAGGCTGGATTCATACAAAGGTATTACCTGCATCCCCACATCAGTATTGGTGAACATGTATCTGCTGTCACTGGCCCATTCTTCACAGCAAGGGGACAGAAGCCTGAAAAAGTCTTGTGAAATGAGCCTTGAGACCATTTTCCTCACGTTGATCCCTCAGAGGAGAGATTCATGGGCAACAGTGATGCTGGTGGAAGGACTCTGAATGAAGACAGCTCCAACCCTGAGGTCCTCTTCCCCTATGCTCCACAAAGGGCTGCCATCACCCTGCTTTGGTGTGACAGCCACCAGCTGGAACCCTGAGCCACCAAAACCAAGCCACCATTTGGGCAAGCCACATTCTGGATTTCTACAGTTGTTTCTACTACTTTGTGTTCTTGTGCACAAGCACTATATTCCAGTGCTTGTGTTCCTTCAGCAGGGCATTAGGCCTGAACACTAACATTTTTATCTTCAGTACCATTAAAAAATCATTTAAAAGAAAAGCTTTCACAAGAACTCTCTGCACCCATCACTTTCATCTACTCCAATACATGGCAGTCCTGATCTGAAGAAGAGCAAAAGCAAAATCCCACTGGATTTCCTAGAGCCAGAATTAGAGCTATGCTATCAAGGTCTCATCAGGGAGACATCATCAGGGCTGCTAACGTGGTTGGCACTGGAAAGCTCTGAAAAAACCCATCAGGCTTATTTCAACACTCTTTGCTCAGCTGCATGCATGTGCGCACAAAATTAATGACCAAGTACAGAGGTATAAAAGTATTTGGCAGGTAATTTTCTCTTCAAGCTTCTAAGAAACTAGCAAGTGCTATATATTAAAAGTACGTTACATCAGAAAAAAAAAGTCCATCCACAGTTCCACCAATTTGGACAGGTTTCCTACTGGATGGCTCTAGGCCTGAAGAGATCCCTAGCAGGTAAGAAGCGCAAGACCCAGAGACTTAGGGGATATTTCAGTCTTCTGAATATTACTCTCCATGTTATTTTACGAGAATCACTGTTTATGCTGAAAATTTCCAGAACTCTTTCTTTCCCAAACATTCCCACTTAAAATGAATATTTTTAGTCAAGGTCATTTAAAAAGAAAACATTGTTAAATTCTTTGAAATTCTGGCTAGAAATTTAAGAATCCCTTGGGAAACGTCATCTTGCATCTGACTGCACAGCACAGGTTTTCAATCCCTTTCCTTGTCTTCAAGACGATGGTCCTTCTAAACCAGAGAGCAATGGTTTCTCAGTCTCTGAATCTGCAAACGCTTTGAGTATGGTTTCATAACTTAAAGTGCTCATGTTACTGTGGTTTAATATGTTACCACCCATCAGCTGAGCTGTGGCAACTGCCTGTGTGCATACAATTAGCTCACCCTAATTGCAAAATGTGCAACTCACCCCCTTTCAGGAGATCAGTGCAGCTGCACATTTATATCAGGTTACCCTCTGGCACATTTGAGGCTCGAGGCCCCATTTCATCATGCCTTAATCAAGATGAAGCATGGTAGAAGATATTAACATCTGACATACCTCACAGCTCGCCTTGTGGTGGATTCCTGCACAACAAACAACCTTGAGCTGCTCTCTGCAGTATGTCCTCTGCTACATGGTGGGTGAAAATAATAGCATTGGAAAGAAAAATCTGAAATGTCCTTTCCTGCCTCCAACATGGGAAGCAAGGATGGTGCATAAGAACCAATAGCTGCCTTTGCTCAGTGGTGGCTATATCACCAGATCATGTGTTACAGTCAACCTGAAAGCTTACTTTTAAGTTTAGATAGTCTACTTTGGGTTTTGATGGTGAATGAATGCTGTTCACACCTCTGGGATTTCACATAACCAACTTGACATCCTGCTCCTGAGCATCTGTGTTTTACAGCCCTCCATATGTGTCTTGTCTTTTCTGTTATGCTTTCCAAATACCACCACCCAATTTAGCACAACTGCTGTGCATATGATCCAAAAAGCCAGCCTGTTCAACTGGGTTGTGTATTTCTATCTCCAGCTACCAGGCATCTGATAGAACAGCTTCCTCCTCCTTACCAGTCCTTTTGGGCTTTGATGTCTCAAATCTTTATCCACGTGAGCAGCCCTTGCTTGAAGATGGGCTCTGTTGCTCCAACTGGGTCTTTTTGCAGAAGCATCTGAAGGATCAGCATGTTCTTCACTAGCACACTGTCTTTTGAGCACAAGATGCACTTGCTGCAGCAGGAAATTAGTGAACAAGCAGGTGAACTGGCAAAGAAGCCCTGAGGATGAAGGTGTCAGTGGTTCTATCTGATAAAAGCATTTTCCCATTATACCCAGCACCTGAGGCTCAGGTAACAAACGGGGCAAAGTGGTCCAGGAAAATGGAAAAAATGTATATGAGTAGTGAGGCAATAAAAATGTACATGCACACCCTTTTTATTACATGTGTAGGAGTACTTGAATTTTATTTCCAAAATCTAAATATTGATGAAAATTCAAGACTGAAAAAATAAATTAAAAGGGAAGGTCAATGATTTTTCAGTAGATGATTTTTTTTCCCCTAAATAAACTTAACGCTGACTGCCTTGCATTTTATTTTAGCTGCTTGAAATAGTCTGAGATTTAAAACAGAGAAGAACCTTGGAACATTTTTTCCTGAAGGTGTTTTTGCTTGGACCAGTCCCACATTCAGGTAATGTTTTTATGTCCCAGTAGTAAATATCATCTGTCACCTCTGAGCAACACACCTGTGCTTGTGAATCCCTAATTCTGGGATTGCTTTTGCCTTCCAAACTGCAAAGCAGTTTCAAACAAGTGCAGCTGTTTTGTTTGTCAAACATGGAAGTGTGTTTCCTTCACAGCCAGCTCCGAATATGTAGTCCTAGATTGATGCCAGCCTAAATGTGCAATATCTGATGGACCACCACCAGTTAGAAATCGGGTATTTTCAACAAGTTTAAGCTGAATACACCATTTCTCAGAAGCGTCAGTCACTCTGAGTCTATTCAGACAATTCAGAGGTTGCTACATTTGTGTTTAGTAATGTGCAAATTGGCACATGCTACAAATATGCAGTGCAGCGCTTCCCAAGCTGCTCTAGGATAAGTCTGTTGTAGCTGCAGCCTGCCGTGCTCAGGTTTCTCTCTCCAGTTCCTTTGTGGCAATTACAGAAGAGGACAGTGTGCAAAGAGCACTGTTATGGTGGTGGCACACAGCAAGCAAGGGAAGAAGAGCTGCCAGAGATACCTTTTCCTGCTGTTCCTCCAGTTCACTCCTCACATCAGCATTGTGCAAGTACGTATCTTGCTCCAAAAGTAATGCCTCCTATTTATTTCCAGGGAAATTACAACAGGTACAAAGAGTGCAGTAATGCTATTCAGTTGAGCAAATTCTTGGCTACAAAACACTGTTTTTTCAGCATAGCCATCACCAATTAACTGTGCATTTTCACCAGTAATGAACACAAGCCTGCATGCCATGCTTGCAAAAATGTGAACCAGAGGAGGTGACCGCTGTTCCACGGCACCACACTGCCCACACATAAATGTTCAGTAAGCTCTGATGAATGTCAACAGGTGTCATTTTCATACTGCGCCTCCATGTGAGACACCCTTTTGTCAGAGTGCCCTTCTCCTGCCCTCTGTCATACGGCGACAAAATGTAATG